GCGCAGGCCCCCCGCGAGCGGAACGAGTTCCCGGAGGACCCCGAGTTCGAGACGGTGGTGCAGCAGGCCGAGCTGGCCATGGAGCGCTCCATCTTCCCCGAGCGCATCTACCAGGGCTCCAGCGGGAGCTACTTCGTCAAGGACCCTCAGGGGGTGAGAGCGGGGACCGCAGCCGCGGGCTGCTTGGCCGGTGGGTGTCGGGGGCTGTTGTGGTGGAAGGACGAGTTGAGAAGCCGCCTGCGGGAGAAACTTGACCGTGAGGTTCCCTCGGTAGGACTGTGGGGGTCCTACCGAAGGTTGGGAACGGGGAAGCCCTGGGCATCGGAGAAATAAATCAGAACCCGTTTGATGGGGGAGGGTGAGCGGAAAATGAAAAGAGGAAATTGACCAGATAGAAGAGGCCAGGAGGCCGGTGGCTGGTGGGGCAATCCGCCTCTCTCAGCAGAGCAGCGCTCGGAGGGGGTGATTTCTGGCAGGTTCTTTAGCGTTAAACTGCCAGGACTACCACTGGAACATTGATTTGAGGTTTTGGGCTTGTTCTTTCCCTTTCGAATCGAATCTGTGTGCCCCTAATTACGGAGGATGGTGGGCCACCAGGGGCTTTGAGGATGCAGTTGCAGCCATCTGTGCCGTGGAGGATGTCTCCTGTCACTGCCCAGGTCCCTTCCTGGCAGACGGGGATGACAGTGGGCGGACTCACCTGTCTCTTCTGCCCTGGCGGCGACTGGCCTGATTATTGCTCACTGCTTCTGGGAAGTGATTTCAGTTGCTTTTTTACAGTTCCTCAGTTTAGACGTGGCGTTTAGGGCCTTGGGGTTGTCAGCTGCCTTTTACTTTGGTTTCTCTCCAGGTCTCTCGCAGTTTTCCTGGGAGCGACTCAGGTGGGAGTGTTTGCTGGCCTTTATTTCACACCCCCTGTGTGTGGTGTTTGGGTGGGATGTGTATAATGGGGATGGGGTTGAGGATGGGCTAGGACGGGTGTAGAGTGACTGGGGTCTTTATTCCCTGTGACCCCTGTGAAAGAATGGAAGGTACGATGATCAAACCAGGTTCCGATTAAACCGGGTGTCATTTGAAGAACCAAGCTGAAACCCACCGTCATTGCTATCCAGTCAGTTCTGACTCAGACCAGTCAGGTAAGGACAGACTCGATGGCCCCTAGGGCTCCCAAGGTTGTTAATGTTTACAGAAGCAGACTGCCTCAGCCCAGCTGGTGGGTTGGAACTAATGACCTGTCCCACCACGGCTCCTCCTGGAAGAACCAAGCCCCACTGCCATTGTGTGGGTTCTGATTCATAGCAACCTTATAGCGTAGAGTAGAACTACCCCTTTGGGTTTCAGAGCCTGTACATCCTTACAGAAGCAGCTAGTTTCATCTTTCTCCTGCGGAGTGGCTGGGGTTTCAAACTGATGACCTGATGCTTAGCAGCCCAATGCTTAGCCTACTCAAATTTGCTGCCATCCGGTCAATTCTATGTGTCCCTATTTATTGAGGATGGATGGGGAGCCACCAGGGGCCTTGAGAACTCACAGTGACCCAATAGGACGGAGTAGAACTGCCCTGTGGGTTTCTGAGACTAACTCCATGGCACAGCGGATCTCAACCTGTGGGTCGAGACCTCTTTGGGGGTCAAAGGACCCTTCCACAGGCGTTGCCTGATTCATAATAGTAGCAAAATGACAGTTCTGAAGTAGCAAGGAAAATAATGTTATCGTTGGGGGCGGGGGTCACCACCACATGAGGAACTGTATTAAAGGGTCGTGGCATGAGGAAGGTTGAGAACCACTGTCATGGGAAAAAGATGAGGCTTTCTACTCCCACGGTTAGCTGCCTGAAGTGTAACTCACTATGCCACCAGGGCTCTGTTTTGCTTAGCTCACAGTGCTGGCTCATTGAGAGAAAGACAAGTGTTATCGTTAGAGTTGCTAAAATGGTGAGTGCCCAAGTTCCCTCAGACTTTCCCGACATCTTTCCTCTAGATTGCGGGTGCGTGGCCAGAATGAGCTGGGGCATCCGGTCTCTGGGTTAGGGTCTTCTCCCACGTGAGGCATCAACCCTGAATTATCAAGAGCCAAAGAGCAACTTTGCTATCCACTCAAGAGGTAGGGGAAGTTTCAGAAGTAGCAAATCTTTCCAAGGGACAGTGAAAATCTGCTCTCAAATGAAGAAGCAGTGAGTTAAATGAGTTAAATGGAAAACTCAAAAGGGAACCAACACTTTTAGGAGTAAGGAAGGGTGAATGTCTAGCGGTCTGGAGGTTACTGAGATGTTCTTACTCTGCTTTATTTGAAGACTTGGTGAGGGTGATATAAGAGAGGGCTAAGGGATCTTGATAGGAACAGGAGGAAGATTTTTGTTTTTCTTTCATGAGACCATGACGGCTCCCTTGGAAGTGTGTCAGGTCAGCTGAGAAGGGATCTGGGGCGCTGGAGTAATGTGATCTCTATGCCACCTGGTTCATTAAGCCCTACCTCCTCATTCCATAGGCCACAGAGAACAATGGACTATAGGTTATGATTTTGAATGACTCCTGTCATTTTACAGGACCCCTGTCTTTGAAATTTCCTGCATCTTAACTTTTTGTTGAGGGGACATCAAAACACAGATGCCCTGACAAAGTTCATGAACCTGACCCTGCTGCTGCCACTGAGAAAAATGTGGTGAGAAGCCGAGGACCACTTTCAAAATGCTGTTGGTGGGTCACGTTAATCTGCAGGCCCACTATAGTTGGTATTATCATCTTTGTTTTTATTTTTGGCTTGTAAGAATAGAAATGTATTGTCTCACCATTGAGCCATGACGATTTCTCCCGAAACCCTGAGCGAGATTCTGCCAAGCTTTCTCCTGGCTTCTGGGGGCTCTGTGAGTTCCCTGGCTTGTAGCTGCAGGGACACGTGGTGTTCTTCACTTAGTCACCTGGCGAGGCTCTGCAGCCCTAGTTGTTGTCGCCAGGTGCCGTCGAGCCTGTTCTAACTGGTCGGGATCCTGTGTACAACAGAGAGAAACACTGCCCGCCCCTGTGCCAGCCTGGCCGTTGTCTTTGTGTCTGAGCCCATGGTTGCAGCCACTGTGTCCGTCCATCTCCTTGAGAGCCGCCTTCCCTGTCACTGCCCCTCCACTTTACCAAGCATGACGTCCCTTGCCAGGAACTGGTCTCTCCTGACACCATGTTCTGGCCGTCCTTCTGAGACAGATCTGTGGATCTGTTCTTTCTTTTGGCAGTCCGTGCTGCTTTGAATACTCTTCACCAGAACTGTAATTCAAATGCATCAATTCTGCTTTAGTCTTCCTTATTCAGTGTTCAACTTTCACATGCATATGAGGCGATTGAAAATACCATCAGGTGCACCCTAGTCCTCAAAGTAACATCCTTGCTTTTCAATACTCTAAAGAGGTCTTGTGCAGCAGGTTACCAAACGCAATGCATCATTTGATCTCTCTTGGCTGCTGCTTCCATGAGCATTGATTGTGGATCCAAGCAAGACAAAATCCTTGACAGCTTCAATCTTTTCTCTATCATGATGTTTGTTACCTATTGGTCCGTAGTTGGGAGGATTCTAATCTTCTTGACATTGAGTTGTAATCCATACTGCAGGCTGCAATCCTCGATCTTCATCTGCAAGTGCTTCAAGTCCTCCTCGCGTTCAGTGAGCAAGGTTGTGCCATTAGTGTATTTCGGGTTGTTAGTAAGCCTTTCTTCAGTCCTGATGCCACAGTCATTCTTCTTCAAATAATTCAGCTTTTCTGACGATTTACTCCACAAACGAATAACTATGGTACGAGCAAGCAACCCTGATGCACACCTCCCCTGATTATAAACCTTGTGCTGTTTGCACAACTGCCTCTTGATCCTGGGATATGTTCTGTGTAAGCACAATGACGTATTTGGGAATTCCCACTCTTAAGGCAATCGATAGTTTGCTGTGTTCCACACAATCAGGTGCCTTGGCATAGTCAGTGAAACACAAGTAAACATCTTTCTGATATTCTCTGCGACCAAGATCCATCTCACATCATCAGTGATACCCCTTGTTCTGCATCCTCTTGTGAATTCCACCTGAACCTCTGGTAGCTCCTTGTCAGTGTGTTGCTGCAACCATGGTTGGACGATCCTCAGCAAAAATGTACTTGCATGTGATATTATTGAGATTGTTCTACAATTTAAGCATTCTGTTAGGTCACTTTTCTTTGGAATGAGTACAAATATGGGTCTTTTCCAGCCAGTTAGCCGAGTAGCTGTCTTCCAAATTCCCTGGCATCAACCAGTAAGTCCTTCCAGTGCTTCATTAGCTTGTTGAAAATTTCAGTTGCTTGAACTTCTTCCTTCAGCACCATTAGTTCTTGCTCATATGATGGAACGTCAACTAGTTCTTTTTTTGGTACAATGATGCTTTCGTCATCATTCAATATTTTGCCCATAGAATCAATCTTTCAAGAGTGCCACTTGAGGCTTGAATTTTTTCTTGCATTCTTTCAGTTTAAGACATGCCGAGTGTGTCTTCCGTTTTGTTTTTCTAACTGTGGCTCTTTGCACATGTCTTCATCACGGTCCACCCTGTCTTCTTGCACTGCACTTTGAAAAGCTCTGCTCAGCTCTTTGCCGACTGCCTCCTTTCGTCCCCTGCCTTAGCTGCTCCGCATTTGAGAGCAAGCTTCAGTCTCTCCTGACGTTCACTTTGATCTTTTCTTCCTTCCCAGTTGTTTAAGTGACCCTTTGCTTTATTCATGAGTGATGTGCTTGATGTCCTCCCACGGCTCATCACGTCTTCTGTCATTAGTGTTCAGTGTGGCAAATCTGCCCTTGAGATGGTCTTGAAATTAGGTGGGAGAGACTCAAGATGGTATTTTGGCTCTCATGGACATGTTTTAATGTTTTTTATGTCAAAAGGTAGTTATTGTGTCGTACAGTTAATACTTAAATAATAACAATAAAAGAGGTATACAGAACTACATTGTGGTATAAGAAAGAGTTTTAAAATTTTAATGAAAAAATATTAAATAATACCTGGCCCAAAAAAACCCAATAAAACTATTATTTAAGATATTTCCATATCGGTTCTTGATTGGTGTCCTCACTTGCAATATTCTCGCTCTCTTTTTTTTTTAACAGTTTTATTAGCATTCCCTGATGTGTTTTTATTTTCTGCAGCTT